TCAGATGTAGCCTTTCCACAGACATTTTTCCTTTTTTGGGGGGACAATTTGGCAGTGCAAGAAAATATATAGGAACGTCTGAGGAGGTTTATTATGTCCCTCTCCCATGTCAACTCCTGGTCATTATTACCTCCCCATTCACAAATATACCAATTAGATTGGACCAGGACATAAACGATATTTTTTCTTTAATTTTTTTTATTTCATTCCCAACACAATAACAACATTAATATACAGCACATAATAACAAATTAATAAATAAATAACAAAACTTATTACAGCCTTTGCACACAAAAAAGGAAAGAAACAAATAATAATACTAATAAAATAAACAAAAATACAAAGTTTAAGAGGATAAAGGCCTGACAGTTGCCCCACATTTAACATTTATCAATGCTATTTTGTTCAAAAAGATTAAGTAAAAATTCATTGAAATTAGGTTATTTTGCAATGTGTTTGCAAGTATACAAGTATTTTCTTTTGCAATAATACGAATAGAAGAAGTCTGCTTAGAGTTAAATTTGACATTTGCAATGGAAAGGAGTCTTTGAATGCGTGAAACAAATTTGCTTGTTTGAAAGTTGCATGTTCTCCCTATGGTATTCAATCAACCACCCTAAAGATTTGGAGAAGAATTCATTTGACTCTTGACAAATTATATTGAGGTGTGTTCAGTTTAATCTGGATTGAGGCAGAAAGGACACTTGCCATCAGAGGCTTACTTATATTTCAGTAGTTCTTTATTGGTTTAAATTATTCTATGCATGACCTTAAAGAGAATTGTCTAAGCTTGTTATCTTTCGAGGATTGCATATATATTCACGAAACAATCACTCCAATCAGGACTGAGGAGGGTTCAGGATCAAGTTTCTCAATGAACAGATCACAATAAAAGATACTATTAATTTATAATTGCTTAATGTGTAGATCAGCCCATCTGATTATTGTAGTATATGCAACTTCTGTTTATCATCCTGATCTAGCAAAGCAATAGCGAATGTATTCGTTGAGAGTATTAACTAAGGTGTAGCAGAATGGACGTTAGCAGGCTATTTTTCGAACAGAAGATAAGCCTGAGTGAATATGTCATTTATGGCTCACACCAACGGTTAAAACAGGAGGGGATAGTATAAACATATCCTACAATGGATCATCTTTGACGGAATACGAGTTGATCAGCACTTGAGTTTTAACCATATCGAGCACGTAGCCGACAAGGTTTCAAGAAAACTGGGTGTTTTTAGATGTTTCACTTTGAGAAACTCTTTTCCCATGGCTCTAGCTGAACGCCTCCACAAGACAATGACTTTACCTTTTTTGACTACTGTGATGTGGCCTGGCACAGGTGTGAAAAAATCTATTCTGACACTGTCGAGAGGTTACAGCATGGAGTTGCAAAGCTGATTTTTCCAAATTCTGGTCTCGATACT